AGTATGTTATGTATGTTTCTAGTAGCCTAATTAAAGATTTTTTGCCATACATTTTTTAATTCGTATTTACTAGTATAAATAAAGTATAAATATTGATTTATTATATTGAAATATTAAAGTATAAAGAGCTATTGTATCGGAATCTGTATCAATATTGGCAGTTGTGTATTGGAATGAAAAATGTGGATCGGCCCATCCCTACATTATATGGAAGCAAATAAGGAAAAATGGAGTTAGGGACACTATTACTGACACACTCATGGTAAATAGCTTAACATCTGTTCTGCCTGTTAGAATTACTGATGATTTCCTACACAACATTCAGGCCTGAAAGGCCTACTGCAAACATTCCAAGTGGAGCAAATTCTGCATGTAGCAGCATAACAATTTTACTGTGATTTACTGAATTATTTCCCATTCCCAATAAAGCATGTGAAAAATGGTAAATGCTTTGTCGTAAATCAGAACAAAAGATCTCACAATCGGAAACATCACCCAAAGTCGTACGAATCAAAAGAATTATTCATCCTTTCCAAATGCTTTAGCAATATTTCAGCCGTTTGAGAACAAGACCATCTTTAAGAACCATCATACATTTTTTAGCAGTAAGCTGCAACCCAATGCGTTTATTCAGCACACTCTATTCTAAACTTCATGTTTTATGATGGATGCTGTCTAAATATATAATTCTGTAAAGTGGAAAGGGAAAATTTTGACAATCACCACATCCTTCTTCCTAGTTAAATATCAAAGCTAGATAGAGGACAGATGAGGCAGTTTGTGTTTACATGGGTTATCATTACCATGTTAAATATATTCAGTTGGGAAAATCTTTTATTTCATTTACAAGGGCTGAAAATTATATACGCCTGTGACATTTTAAAATACAGTCCAAAGCTTTCAAATCTTCAGTTCTTTAAAAATCAAAATCTAAATGGTCCAATGAAAACTATTTATGACTGAATGACTCCCAAGTTGAATATTTCAGTAAATGGGCTTTCCTCTATAAAGGACTAAGTTGCAATGGCTAGTGGACTTTCACTGTTGACTTAGTGATCAATCTTCACATGTTCATCCAAGTGCCCCTTTCATATAAAAAACAAAGGACTGCTGTTAAAGGAATAAAGTTGGTTTTATCAGATAGTTACAGGTCACTGATCAAAGCAACAAGGCCATTTTATACAAGTGGGATATTTCAGACAAAAATGAGGTGGATGAAATATTAGCAGGATGAAAGATAAATTAAATCAAATCTTAAAATCACTGTTTAAACAAAGGGTTACTTAACTGAGGGAGGTAGGCACATAAAATAATAAACTTACATTAAGCACTGATAATACTGAAAATAATATGCATCATAATACATACTGGTTTCCAAAAAACTGCAATTATTTTGACGATAGCTCAAAATCCAAACGATTTAAAACAATAAGGGAATGTTGCCAAACATCAGAAAGCTCTCAATACTAGTGTCATATTCTACTGTACTGTCATTTGATTTAATCAAAAATGGTAGTTATGTCATGGCAAGTCCTATAAGGGATTTATAAGCACTGCATGTGGCCTGCAGAGATTTTGCCACTTTGCGTTATATGCTGCTTATACTTCATAGGACATAACATCTTTATACTGACATTGCCTGTTTTGATGTATTTATTACTATGTATTAATATTTTGAAGGCATGTTCATAATCACTATCAGTTAACTACAAACTTCTTTACTGCCCAGTAACAGATTTTCAGCACAAATCTGAAAAAACTAGTCTTACTAAAATTTATAATACTTCAATAAATGGTTAAATGCTGATTTAATAATTACGTTGTCTTACCGGACACCAATTTAAACAAAGCCATGTGAAGGTGCATTAAATTCCAAGACAAAACTAGTGAAAAAGTGATGACAAATAGATGTCAAATCAAATAACAACTTCAACAATCAATTGTTTATGCAACCAAAATACAAATACAAAAATATGTTTTCAATATGATAATTTGATTGAAATATAATAGCCTGATTTCACTGGAAAAAAAAAATTGCCTCCTATTTAGTTACTTAGCAGTTGTATAAGAGGGGGAAAATGTTTTAGGTCAAGTCTGTATTACAAGACCTATTTTCACCCATAACAGTTTTGCCATCTTCAGTTCTTCTAAACCGTAACCTGCCAACAGGAAAACTTGCAATTTAATGTCTTTAGAGCTCTTTTCTCATAATTATGACATAAGTTTCATTTTTTTCTTTCATGAATGTAATGCACTTCAGTAGAAAACAAACAAAGAAAAAGTACTGGGAAAAGAACATTTAAAAAATTCTGCTCACCAGAGACCTGTGCTATGTTCAATAATGTCTATTTGGCATCATTTTATTGTTTCTGTGACAGTGACCCCTATGTTCATGAAGAGGAACTGCATCCCTGGGTCAGTATACGATAGTTGTAGGAGGAAAAGAGACTGCCACCTAGTGTTCATGGAAACTTCATGGATTTTAAACTTGCTGAAGCTCTGTTGAATAACTTGCCTTTACACAGTTCCACCAAAAGGTCACTAAGGTTATACAAGTGTTGTTGAGCTGCCTTCCTACAGCGGAGCTCATTAACATCTAGCATGCTCCATGCTACTTGTAAATAGCCCTTGTCTGCATTATTGTAAGTAGCTGTGCTGTGTACCCAGTTGTTGCGTGCACCCTTATTTGTAGACAGCACACACTATCTGGGTAGACGAACATTGGTCTCATTTAATCTATTAATTATTTTCCCAACCCTCTGAATTATTTGATTATTTTGGTTATTATTTTATCCACCAAAGTAGGTTTGGCAAACGGAATTGAAAAGACATTGAATTTTTCCACTGAAAAGAAAAATGGAACAGCACCAGAAGAATTGACTGTCTGAATCTAAATCTGTTTGGATTTTGGAATATTTCATGTTATTCTAAGACTAGGTGACCAAAAGTTACAAAAGGGGAAAAAGTAAATAACTGTTTGTATTCATTTTATAGTTAAATAAATGATGGCTGTATTATCTGAGTAATATAAAAAAGTGTTTTGGCTTTTTTATTCCTCTACTCCTCCTTGAAAAGAACTTAGGCTATGGGCTTGGCCGCATATTGTTCCGTAGTGTCCTACGAAAGCCCTACGTGCTGTGTATGTCTTCATATTGTAATTTCAGTGGAAGTTCGCAGGTTTATATCACCAAACTGTATTTCGTGTTATCTACATTGTCTTCACAAATCAGTAAACTAACTTTACCTGAAAATGCTGAATGCTAAGAAGGAAATTTTTAGACAGTACAATTTACTGTACCGACTAGATTAGCCACTGAAACTAGTTGTCTTTTACAAATTGGAGAGTAGCAGAGATTGACATTGGGGGGGGGGAAATATGAAGCGCTTTGTTAGAAAAGAAAGTGAATGTTTCATTTTGTGCACATATTCCTGTAAAGAAATTTTAGTTGGGAAAAAAGTGAAGCACAAGGGCAACGCAAACCAACACTAATTATGTGACAGGTGGTCTGATATAATTATATGTAGGATCAGAGAAACTGGGACGATGTGACCGAATGAGCAGAATTGGTAAATTTGTTTTTAAAGTCATGCAAAGCATAAAAAACTAAACAATTCCTCTAATTAACAAAGGTGTCCCAATATTTTTGTCCAAATAGTGTATATTAATCTCAACAAATGAAAATATGAGTGTTCTGTATCCTGTATGAATGTTTAGAAATGTGTGTATTAATAAATGTGCTTTTATATTTTACTACTTTTGTTGGTGTTTCAGTTATATCAGGCTTTGAAGTCCATAACTGATTTTTCATAGTTTCAACATTAAATCACTTAGGAATCAATCTCAACTAAATATTGTTTCAGCACACAATACTGCAATATTAGATCAACGATTGATTCATTGGCACAAAATACAATTGAATCAATGCTGAATCCTGGTTGGACATGGTCAGGTTTTCAACCTTGAATAGATGGCCTTTACAACGAGCAAGGTCAATTTTGAACAATGTTGAAGATAAATGTTGTTTCAATGATTTTGTCTGATTGTTTATTCAGTGTTCTTTCAATGGTACTTTGCTATCTGGGGCATGATCCATCCCTGATCCTTGTGTGTCTCTTTGTAATTGGTAACTTCTCACTATGTGTGCAACCGGCTGTTTGTAAAAGGACCTCCCCTTGTTTCCCCGTAAAGTGTGTTTTTGCGGTGCTGGAGTGTTTTACAGCAAAAGTCTCATTTCTTGTCCTTGGCTTTGAAACTGGGCTCTGATGGGTTTTGCAATATTAGTCTCTATGCTGCACAGTTGGTTTGACATCATGAGGTCACATGGTTTGAGAGCATAATAGCGTTACCTACAAGTATATTTGCCATTTTTAATTCTAAAGAAATGTACAAGAGGATTTTTTTTTTTAAATCCTAGTGATACATGAACATAACTCTGTCACACAGCTGGTTTGACATCATCCACTGAACTGAAATGGTTGAAGCGCGTAATAGGTTTGTATTTTGAATGTCAAATGAATGTTGAATATTAAACTAACTTTATCCCGGTGAAACAACGGACTTGAGCAAGCAGAAGTGTTTCTGGTTATGCTGGACAAGTTCTGCACAGATTTCCGCAGAAAATAATACCCCTTTAACCAAATCGTGCCGTCTGGGAAACAGATATGCCAGTAACTCGCGATATATCACAGTTAAATATTAAAATAACGGAGCTGACTTTTGTTCATGCATGCATGGTTAGTAAAATGTAGCGCGTACGATAGTTAAGACAACAAATTACAGAGGCTTTTCCTCATAATTATAATCATCGTTAATCAAAATCAAGATTAGTGCAGTATCGTGGCAGTCTGCATTTTTACGATACATATATACTCTTAGACAAAATAGTGTGATCATTATACCAGTGCGCACACATACACATGCGAGTATATATACTGTATATACACACACACACATACACACACACATATATCCCTTGCACATTGCCCTCAAACATTCTTACCGTATCTGCCGGATTGGTAGTTGTCATATTTCTGTGTTGTTCTTTGGTGAGTGACCTTTTCCGTAGATAACTGCCAGAGTTAATTCCTTTTTGCCGTATGAGATCCCTGCTTACTGCGTGCCGCTGAATACCCAAATGATGCACTTTCATAAATTGTGTCTTTAAAAACTATATGGTTGCAGTTACAGCTTCAGTGGTCTGCTGACTAGGGAAGTCCGAAGAAAAAAAGACAAAAATTTCTGTTTCAAATTATTCAACTTTTTGCTCATAACCGGTAAAGTGCCGGTTGCACATTAATTGGAATTTTGCAAGATACTGGATTCTCTCCTCCCGCCCCCAACATGAAAAAAGGAAAAAAAAGAAAACCCTTAAATAATGCGCTTACGCCATATGGAAAAAGAAAAACAAGGATCAGAAAATGTGCATTGAAATTTCTACTTCCTGAAAGAAGTCTTTCACAACAAACATCCGTGCAATTACCTTTGGTGGTCCACACATCTATCTGTCAATCCCTTAAGCAATATTTCATAATCTATTTTAAGATTCCGCTTTCCACCTACTCTGTCACCCTCTCCTAAACAAAGATGGCGGTAGGTAACAGGGGGAAACCTTAAAGGGGAAATGTAGTTCAAAAATCTCATTTGTGCATGTAAATCCACACCCCTGTTTGGAACTGAAAAGTTGGGGTTAACCTGAAAGTCCACGGCTATACTACTTTTCTTATGCAAATAGCCTACCGTGCCTTAACAAAATTATAGCGAAGGGAATTAACTTTAATGCTCAAAATTAAACGTGGTTTTATATATAAAACCACAAAACAGTAATGTACCTTTTACCCTTAGAAGTACAAGGTGATTGACACCTTTGCTTGGCTTTGAGCATGCCCGTGTTTTTATTTTATTTTATAATTTATGTTGGGAAATTAAACCACTCTGGTTCATTTCACTGGCTGAAATAATCACCACTTTATTATCCACATACATGTGAATAAGTATTACTGTGGCGTGTCCGAGTGTAATTTTAATAAAGGAGACGACAGCTCTTTATAAAATCAAAGTTTCTCTCTTTATTGACAGCGGCTACTGGTCTAGTTCTGTTGATACTGTTGAGTTTTTGATTTGGCTAACATGTCCCCTTCATTGGGTATCAAGAATGGCTCTAGTAAGTTTCTCTGTTCTTCTCTTGTATTACTGTCTATTGAAAGACCATCAGGTGTGAATTAAGTATTACAATTAGGAGTCACAGCATTCCGGCAAAACACATTTATTGGCTTTCACCTTTCTAGTTGATTTATCATGTAGTTCTAGAACTTGTACAGGTTGGTGAGTGTGCAGGGATTATGGATTAGATGGGCAGAGCAGATGACGAGGCTGTCTGTGGAAAACAATATGGGAGGTGGTAGTCTTTGTGTACCTTTATCCTGACCTCCACCAGCTTGCACAGGGTTTGTTCATGGCACCGCCTACATTGACCTTGAGCCAACGCCCTTTTGAATATGATGCAAAATATGATGCAGTCTGCTTTGGGCATCACAATAAGAGCCCTTCTCTTTAATGCCGTACTACTGGGACAGGTTGTCAGGGCTTGGGAGGGTAAAATATGATCATATGTGGAAACTTAACTGTGGTGCCTCCACAGGTTGGCCCATACCATTACTCTATCAGATGTGCCTTCCCAGGTTGTGGTTCACATCTGCTTTCTCTAAGACCTAATGGAGCTGCTTAAACATCATTACTGTCATTGGTTAATTCCAAAATCTATTGCACTTTTTCTCCCCAGGTTTTGAATGGGTTGATTCTTTCTCCATCTACAAAAAAATAATGTCATGTTCCATCTTCCTGGGACTTTACTCTCCTCTAGCCTGCCTTCTGTTTTATGAGAGCTGTAATTCACTTCCTTATGTGCTCAGCCTAAGAGCTTAACTCTTGCTACTGGTATTGCTGGTCTTCCTGGTGACCATCCACAACGATGCATTCAGGACCACCATAGTACTCAACCAGGTTCTGTATCCTTCTTGTTGAACCTGCTGCTACATCATTTGGCTGCTCCTGCCACACTTCATCCTGCCTTGATCGATTAAAATAAAATGGGGTAACACTTTACAAGGGAACAAATCATATACTTAAGTAATGCGTAACTAATGATGATTAATGCATGAATAAATGAAAGGAATCGAAGTTCTGTTGCTAATCATGAACTAAGGATGAATAGAAGAATATTGGAATCCAGTCAATGTGGCAGCATATCAATTAATGCAGGTAGCAGCTGCTGTGAATTAACATTCCATAACTAATGAACGAGATATAAATCCACAGTGACTTCATCATTAGTTCATGGTGAGTGACAGGAATTCATGATATATCTTGTATTAATTCATGCATCAAATCCTCACTAGTTAAGCATGACTAAAGTATGATGTGTCCCAGTGCTGCAGTGTGACCACTGTCTCTAAGTCGTCAATTGACCTGACAATTTCCTTGCATGTCCCTTAGTCTTTTAATTACAATACATTGGCTTTCATGGTTAAGGATATCTTTCACTCCGCTCAGTGACATTTTTCCACAAGGTATTGTGGTCTTTAAGTGGGGAGTGTAACAGTTGCCTTATTGAGTGAGAAGAGAGGAATCTGCTTCTCATTCCATTGTTACCATAAATACTGTTTAACATGACTATTGACCTTGAATGCACATAATAAAACAACAATTTCCTGCAGGCAGAAATCAAATCACACTGGGATAACTTACAAACTCTGAAACTACACTTATTCATTTATTGCACATTCCATTATATGATAATTTGCGCAATCTTTCCCAACCAATTAGGTGGCTGACTGAATTTCTTTATGTATGTCCTAAGATCCGTATCTTGAAATGTCATTTAGACCTACACTATATTTTTATATGTCTCTATGTTTATGTTGTATGTATTCCTCATTTGCTCTATGACAAACATTTTCCATAACATAACAGCAAGAACTGCAACAAATATACTAATACAGTGGTACCTCAGTTCTCTAACTCATTAGAACTCAAATTTCTTAAAAGTCGAACCAACCAGTTTGAAAAAAAAAAGACTTAGAACTCAATCTGAATCTCAGAGGTCGAACCGTGAACGCCGACCTAAGATAACTTGTAAATCTCAGCGGAAACAAAGGGTAACCACCCATATAATGCCTTTGAGAACTGCAAATATCCATCAATAAATTTTTGAGTTATTGTCTTAACAAGTAAAGCGTCTGAAACAAAGCCCCACAGATAACAAAGGAAGGAAGAACAAACTAACTTACTTGATCCCGAAGGAAATTACACCTAGCCCTACTGATTACTCCTGCTATCTCTTGATACAGGAAGGAGATTATCGTCTTCAGCAAGTTGTCCCTAGTCCAGTGGTCCCCAGGTGTTCTGCATTTGTCTCATTTCCTCCTCTAGTCCCATGTCAGGTGGATCTGTTTGCCGTCCCTACTAATAAAATCTCACAAAAAAACTCAACAGGGATTACTGCCCCTACTAAGTGCCCTATGTGTGCAACTGGGCACCATGCTGACATCTGCTGGTATGATTGTGAGTTTGGTATTTTTGAGTATTTTCCTACAAAACACCTTCACATGCAGCTTATTCAGATACGTGTTGTATTAAAAATGATGATCTCCATTAAAAATAGTCCATAATTAAGATCCCACATTCAAATTTTCTTCTATCCTTTGGGTGTGATAAGGGTTAGGGATAGGTATTTGGTGGTGCAGTGTAATTTGGGCAATTCAGAGATGATTTAACATGAAGTATATTAATTAAAAGCCTGCGTATGTTATGTCATCAGAATGATTCAAACAAGAAAAGAGAACATTTGAATGAAATGCATCAAAATGCCATAAATCAGAGAAAATCTTTATATTATTTATTCAGATATTTTAACTACTAATTCTGACTATGAAGAGCACGTTCTTTCTTACTTGTCACAAAAAAGGTCCACCATATCTGTCACGATCCGCTCCGTTCGATCCCGATGTGTGCCACGCCCACCTCGTTACCTCACGTTCAGCCCTGATTGTGATCACCTGAGTCCTGTTATGTCTAGCTTGTCTTTTGTATTTAGTCCTCGTCTGAGTCAGTCTTCCCCAGATCCGTCATTGTATTGTCCGTAGATGTCCGTGCCTGTCTGTCCGTCAGCCAATAAACCCCCTTCTACCCGTAAGTTTGGCTCAGCTCGCCTGCTTCCTGGTTTGCCTACTTGCCTAAACGTGACAATATCACTGAATTGCCAGAAGATTAGTAAATAAATTAGCAAATTTATCATGCCTGATAGGGTGTACCATTAATTTCTGGACTCCTCTTTACATAAGTTTAAAGTAGGCTGGTTCACTTCACAAGTAAACCCTTTTTGGTCAATAGCATTGGAGAAAACTATGGCTACTGCTTTAGTATAATCCTGAAGGCTCTCCTCATTCATTTGGCTTGAACAGTTAATTTAATATAATGAATTGCAGATTGCAATTATTTTTCTGCCTCATTTGGCAGCATATGTTGATATATGACTCCCTTGCCTAGATCATTCTATAATATTTTGGAAGATGCTCTAGCTGATCCTACAATCCAGCTAACATCAGTTCATATAACAGTTCATTTAAGCTTGTGGGAATTTTACTTATACAAAACAGACTGAAGGTAGAACAAAAAATGATTGGTTCAGAGAGATAAGCAATCATATTGTAGAGGAGCTGGGTCCAAACAACTAGAGGAGGTGGGATCAATACATCTCATTCATTGGTCCCGCCTCCTGTAGTTCTGTGGACCCTGATCCACAATCTCTCTGAACCAATCATTTTCCTTCTGTGCTAGTAGACATCTGATTTAAAACGATACTTGATAATCTTATTCCCATATCTCATATGAAGAGTTACGAAGCCATGACTGAACACAAATATCCTTTGTTCTCCAAAATATAAAAAAGTGGGGGAAAAAAATGTAATAGCCATAATCTACATAGGATGGTACTACACTGACCCAACCACTTTCTCGACGAAATGCTTTGCTTCTTTTTATATCTTCATGGAGACACTTGATAGCTGTACATCAGGATTGAGGGATGTACAGTAATACCTTTATGATGCTGTAGTCTACATAAAGAATTCTTCCAATTGTAGAATGTCTTTCTATATGAAGTTCTGTTTTTTGACACATTCCTTCATTTCTTTCATCTGCTTGGCATTATATAGCTTGTTATTTTGAATGACAGACTCCTAGGAGAAAATACTTTTCAAGAAGACAAGAGATGGCTACAGCTTGTACCACCCTGACTGAAAATGCAGGACCATTTTTGACAGTATCTGATCTATTTTTATTTCAGGCTCACTCATTAACTGCTACACAGATTCTCCCTTGAACTGCTTCATTACGGTCATTGGCCACATCATCTCCAGCATGTGGACCATTCTCTATAAGCTCACTACTAATACATGACCACCACTTTCAGTCAAGAATAATACACCTCACTGCACTTTTGTATTTCTTTAGAAACTAAAACCAATTTAAAAGTCCCCTGTCTCTGCCGTGGCTTGCTGAAGCTACACTCTGTTCCTCCTCTTCTTAATGTAAGCATCACAATAAATGCACCAAAGTATTGCTGCAAGCAGCAATTTTGTTTTGGCCCATGTGCAATATGAAGTACAAGGAAGCACGTCAAAGGTTGGAATTGCAAGTTCAGCAAACCAGCTGATAAGCTTGAATATATTTAAGCTTGAGAATTACATTTGCTGATGTGCATTAGAGAGGTTATAAACCCTGCTGGCATGACCTTGCAAAACATGTAATGTGTCATGAAATTCACTGGAAAACCGCTATCTAAGTATATGAAGAAAACAGCCCAAATAAATCACAAACACACACGTTCAACTTAGGGGATCTCCTACAAATCAACAAGCTTTAACTTTAAAGCATAACTTTAAATAGGCTCCATATATTAAACTGGGTGCATTTGCTCTGCAAACTATAGGAATTCAGATCGGTGCATCATTGACTCTTAAACTATGCAAGAGCTGAAGATCATGGGAAAAATAATGGCAAGTAAGTACTTGTTCATACGTCATGTAAATTAAGTACTCAGGTGTTTTGTGGATAATCAGAAGATGTTTGTACTCTTTCAGGGGGGTGAAATATTTTTAGGATCTGTGAATTTTCTCAGAAACTGTCAGACCTCAAAGAGGGGTAAAAAGTATTCCTTTGAAGTCCATAATTGTTATATATGCTATATATAATATATTATATATCAATTTGTTATACAGTGCCACCAGGTGACATTACAGTATATTGATTAGAAATACTTCAGTTGAGCCCTACTACCTTTTTTGTATGTTCCGATGGCTACATCAAAATGTCAAGTTAACAAAAGAGCTAATGGTGTCATGCCCCGATCGTCCGCTCCTCTCGTGTGCCACGCCCCCTCGTTAACCTCATGTGGATTCCCAGTGTTTTACGGCTGTTTCTGATTGTTGTCATTAGTTCATTGTATTTAGTCCGCGTTTCCGTTTGTTTCCCCAGTCCGGTCATTGATGTTGTATTGTCAATGTATCTTTGCCTGCCTTTCGTGCAATTAAACCCCATGTTCCCCTATTCCTGGAATTCCTTTGCTTGCTTCCCTCCTGTGATGTGACAAATGGTACCTGACACTGTGTGAGGCCACAATATTAGGCACCAAGCTTCAGGTAGTTCTTGCACGCTAGTCAGAATTAAGAAAAGCCTTAAATATACAGTACTGTGCAAAAGTCTTAGGCAGTCAAAAAATGTGTAAAGCTCAGAAAAGAAACAATGTAACAGTAGAATATATGCAATTTAGCATGTACATAATAAAACAAGAAATTCTTCAGTTCTCAAAAAAGTTACTGATATCATGTTGGATGAGTAGATCTGTTCTTTCCTCTCCTGTTATGTCCCCATTGGGCCATATGGCCATCCCATAATCACCTAATTATCCTCATCCTAATGTGTCAACCATCTGTACCTGTCTCTGGGTTGTTATTCGTGCTCCGTGTATATGTTAATCACTGTTTTCCAGATTGATTGTTGGTGGTGTTGTTGTTGCGGATGTGTAACATGCCTAATGTTCGTTTCAGTTTTGGTTCCTGCTGTGCTCCCTGTGTACCTGGTTACCCCGATCCTGCCTTGCTGTTGCTCCCTGAATTCTAGTTAGACTTCTCATGGTCTGTCGTTTTCTAGTTCCTTGTGTATCCAAATAAAGCCCCTTTCAATCCCTCAGATATGACAGGAAAACACAGTTAATTCTGTGTAGTGCTTATTGATGACTGCATTTCAGACGTAAGGGAATTAATAGTGGTGATAATTCAACAATATCTACACATCTACAAAGACATCTACCCTTTGTGTCCAGCTAAATCTATACCTGCATTGGCTGGAGAAGGAAAGAGTTGTACCAAACTAACACTAAGAGCAAATGTATTGTCCAATGCCACTTAACAGTGAATAGAAGGGGTTTATATAGACATCACAACACACACAAACACAGTCCACATGATAATTTTAATTACAAACATTGCTTTAGAAACCTTGTTAGAGAAGACAAGAATGACGTGAAAAAGGATGTGGCTGCATTTTATGAATCATTGGGGAACAAAAAATACTACTACAAAAGCATAGGCTGTGCCTGGGAAAAGAATTTAGACAAAAAATACATTGATCACACTTTGAGGCTTGCATAGATTATATTCTTTTGTCCAAATATATTTTACTAATGTCAGTTCCATGCAATGCTCGGGCGAACAGGGAATATCCTTAGTCTCCATTATATGATTTCTTCCCCATCACTTTGCACATCAGAGTCATTTTTATGGTCTATTGTCAGTGCTGCAATGTCCTCAAATATGTGGGAATAGGTGTCAAAGTGCAGACCAAGATTCAGCAGGCGTTCCCAGTGTTGTACAGTTTCATTAGAGTGATCATCCACATCCCCCTTGACCTCTGCAAGTGGAGCCCCACTCTTTAGAGGAGAGTAGGTGTTTTCACTGATATGTTCCTGTTCCCCCAGGTTGATGAAGGGCAGCTCCCTCTCACTCTCATGCACTGAGCAAGTGAAGCCGCTGTGGGAATCACTTTCAGAGGAGCTGTCCTCTGGTTTAGGCTGAGAACATTCTGGATGCCCTACACCAGCAGTTAGCTGCTTGTCCAGTTTTGCAGTCAGCCTTCTCAGCTCATCCACAGAGAGCCCCATGGGGAGTACCTCTACAGTAGGGGTCTGGATTTTCCTCATGGAATGTTGGGTGCACTTTTTACTTGATTTGAGTTTGTAATCTGATTGATGTAAGTGTCCTCTTCCAATGCAGTTGCAGATTACATCTCCCTGGTGGGGTCGCTCTCCTCCCCAGTCAGACTTTGAAGAATCTGGTCCAGCTGAATGCCTCTGAGTTAAGTTTTCTTGCCTCTGCCTGTCTACAAACTCTCGCTGCACAGTTGTTTGCAGGGGCCACTCTTTATTCTTGTGGACTGGTTCCACTATCTCAGTGTATGTTTCAGACTGAAAAATGCTACAAAAGCTATCTACTTCATAGTACTCAATTTCACTGTTTCTGGGGTCTGTCTGCAACGAGACAGGTCTGGTTTCCCTGCCACTCTGGGCAACATGGTCTAATGTCTGGTTATCCTGCAACTCATCCCTGATAATGTCAGGATGATTTCCTGCTTTGATGCATTTGGTCTGCTGGAGTACATTTCCACTCTCTCCATGAAAGGCCTTGTTGTCCATGCCCTGCTCACCCCATTCAGGGTACCTAGAAGTCTTGTCAGGTATCATACTTTGAGTATGAGACTTTGATCCAAGCTGTCTGAGGAGAACAAGCAGTGCCAAGCTGATAAGAACAAGGGATGTTGGAAGAATGGCCCCAATAATCCACAGTGGCGCCCCATGGTTGGCCTCAGAGCAAAGAGGGGGGTTGTGTTTTGAAGATGAGCACAATTCACAGTGTTTCCCTTCGAAGTTAGGCAGGCAGGTGCATGACGTGTTGCTCAGGTCAGTATTGTTGCAGGTGCCTCCATTTTGGCATGCTTTAGATGAGCAAGATGCAATGGAAGAATTCTCTTCCCAGCAATTTGGACTGCTACATGCATCCTGAAATAAGCATCCTGTGTGGGACAGCATTGGACTGGCCCGGAAATGCACCACCTCACTGAACCCGTCAAATGGCAGAACATGCCCGTTGAATTTGAAATACTCAACACATCCTGAGAATCCAGCTAGATGACAGAAAATTGAAATGATTAGTTAAATTCAGTTTCACTCTATAGTTTTTTTTTTCAAAATTGAATTTACAGATCAAGCTGCTTTTTAATGTAGAAAATTACGTAGTGGAATCATTAATTGATGTACCCTGTACTGGAATCCTGACTGTCCCCTGTCTGGTGCCCTGTGCTTCCTATGACAGACTCCACACACTGCTTATGGAAGTTGGATCCATGGCACCAATAATTCATGTATCTCATTCAAAGACTTTGAAAATTCATTTGTATATTGAGTTAAAAAGAGAAAAAGGTATCTTCTGAAGTTGTACGGAAATTTTTTAATTGTGCCTCGACTTTCTGTAACCACTTATTCAGTCAGTCCCATAATAAAAATAGCTTTTCAATGATGAATCCACTGGATAATAGAGCCTCTTATTCTGCTCTGTTTGTCAGGGACAACACCCTTCTAGACAGAGGACTAAGGCTCCGGGTTTCACTCTATCTGAGCCTTGGTCATCATAATTGTACTAATTGCATTGTGCTAATGTTATATAATAGTACTGTCCAATGAAAAACAGGTGTATCCAAAAATGCAGTTTTTCAGGAGCAAGAAAAAAACATTTTCTCTGAAATTGCTGGGGATCAGCAGATATACTCTCATCTAACCACACAGGAGGGAAATCAAGCGGTCAAGAAAATGCCGCTCAGTAATTGGACAGCTGTAATTACTCCAGTGAATGTGAATGGATGAGGGGGCATGGTAGCAGAGGGATCTGTCCTCATAGCATGACAACACCAATAACAATAATAATGATGATAATAATAATAAAGAGCGAAACATATTGCTCAAGAATCTGAAAACTGCTAGGTTCTGAGTGAAAAAAGTTGCAATATTTTACTCAGAATTGTGCAGCCCTAATTCATACTCTTCCAAACAAGGGGTGGGAGATATTTGGTTTTGATGGACACTTCTGACATCTAATTGAGATACTACTCAAATAGATGACTTCATAAAACATCATTTCATTGGTCAATTAGATGTCAAATGCTATCAGTAGACAGAGGAGAACGGGCGTATCCCATGTACTGTATAGTAAAAATTCACAATTGTCAATTGTGGACATATGTGGCTTTCATTGGACAGCGATGATAAGCTTAAGTTTAGAAACACTGATCTGAACATATCTACTGACCTAGTTCATTTCCTGTGTGTGGCTGAATGCCTCTGCCTAGGATGATCCTGTCCACATCATGAATGGGGCCAGTGGTGTTCATGACAGGCACCCTGTCCACATAGAGTGCGGTGGTGGGCCCATCTTTGTCAAGGTGAAGAACATGCCAACGAGCCTGGTGCAGCTCAGTCTTCACAAAGGTCTCTGTCAGGTGGCTGGACACATTGCCACTCGAGCGGTAGACAAGCTTCCCATCCTTTATCTGTCCAGTTCAAAAACACAGTTAGTTATGAAAGTATTATTGGTTAACATTTCATATCCTAACGTCATATTGCAAGCAGATGGAAGAAGGATGAATGGAGAGATAGATATACAGTATTTGTATGGAAAAGATATTAAATTATTTAAAAAAAAACTAAAGTTTCTGTTATATGGCACATGTTCATTGTTAGTAAGGAATTGGCAAAGTTCCAATAGCTTTCAAATATCATATTATTATTATAATTTGAATCCTGTACTGTGTTAATGCAGAAATATTACAAATATGTAAGACAGGGCAATATTTGACTTGATTTGACCTCAAATGAGACTGTGCCCATCCCCTGCACTTACCCCAAGTATTGCACCACCTCGTCTTCCCCAGTAGGAGAATAAGACTCCTTCATGCTCAGTAGTTATGAATTTGACCTCCATCCGAGACATGTGGACTGCTACTGCAGCAATTGTATCTCCTCCCTTCTTCAGGTTTGTAAGATGCTGCTCTCTCTTGTAGCTCTCCTTAATAACATATTCAATGTAGGACTGCCCATTGAGTCTCACTGCATTGTTCTCTGTCAGTGCTAATCAGGAAAACAGTCAAACAGAGATACTTTTAATCAGGCTGAGTGAATATCCCTGATTAGCCCTTTTTAGCAGTCTTCAGCTACTGGATAAAAGTTGCTCATCTCCTATGGATTTGCTTGTCAAACACACATGTAAAGTTTTTCTACAAAAACGACCTCCTCTACTCAAAAATCTAAACGGAAATAAAGAAATGACCTGTGGCACAGTTGACCCCAGTGAAGAGTTCACGACACTGGCAGTAATGGTGGCTCCAGTGGTCCAGGCACACCCCCCCATTTAGGCAGACACCACCGTGACAGGGGGCAGTTGTAGCACGAGGGCAGCTGAAATATAGCATGAAACATGTATGTATTTAATCTTTGCTTGCAGAAATGCACAAAGACAAGTATACATTGTGTTGCATGAATGTATATGTAGATCATTAGCTCATATGATATAATTTTATAGATGCAAATACCGCTCCTTACCCCTCCAGCACATTGTAAGATGCCAAGGCTTCTGAGGAGTCCAACAGTTTGCCATTCACCTTGGCACTCCTCACACATCCAACAAAGTCATGAGTCCTGATTTGAGCAGGATGCAACAAAATGGCCTCGATGGACTTGATCCCACCAAATGTCATGTTAATTGAACCAACATCAAGGGTTCTGTATGTGCAGAGACTCTAGGTAACAGTACATACTTGAAAATGGTATGTAGAGCAGTTTGTGCTAGTTTAATTTCATTGGATTGTTTCAGCTCAATGAATCATCCGTTTCCTAAACCGTGGGTTCCAAAATTTTTCAGCCCTTGACCCCATTTTGCAGGCCGGGTTCCTCTAGGCACATTTCTCTGACCAGGAGAAGTAGATTTATCTCAGTTCACCAGTTGTGGTTACAATGTATTTTTTTCTACAGTTTTATTAACATACTCTGGAAATCATCCTCGCAACCTCCCGCCACTATCTCATGACCGCTCTAAACAGTCCTGACAACCTGTATTATGAATTGAGTCTATAATATTTCTGCCTTCAAAGAATACTTAATTCTGCAGTATTTGCACTAGCAAATCATGAGACTCTGTTATGTTGTTAGAGTTGTTTGGCTTTTTTTTTATTAACTTTTGGTAACGCTTTATACTGTATAAACTACACCTCAATAATGCATTCATTATGCGTGCATTGACCATTATGTGCATCTTCATGACATTCATAGAACATTAATTAGCAGCATGTAAGTATACATTAAGATCGTATCATATCTTAAGAGTTTAAAAATACATACATAATAACAAACATATGATCACGCGATTATAATGCTTGTTAATATCATATAATGTTTGATATTAATATATATTACGGCTATTATGGTATGTTAGGGTGTTATGGTATAGTTACATGCTGCTTATGAATGCTCTATGAATGCATTATGAAGGTGCCATGAATGTTCTACAAATGCATTATAAAGGCATAAGGTACAGTAAATTTAAACCGTTACCTAACTTTCTAATGTAGAGCAAAGCATTCCTTATGCTTCATAAACCTTTTGACCTTTAAGATGACCTTTGTAAATGCTGTCTCACAACAAAATACTTAACAGATAACAGACAAAAAATATATACCTTTTACTGCCAACTCCCTCAGTTTGGGAAAAGCAGTATCCAATGGGCTTATCACCAGGGCAGCTGTCCACTTGGAGAGAGGCAGACTGTGAGAAAAATAAACAGGAGGTTTTTGCGTGGGATGGAGTGGTGGCTCTGAGGCTAGGGATCTGTGCCAGCAACTGGAAGGTTGCTGGTTTAAATCCCATGAATGCCCAGAGTAATTCTACTCCATTGGGCTCTTGAGCAAGGCTCTTAACCTGAAATTGCTTCATCCTGGGTATGATGTTAATCTACATCCAGCCCTATAAGCAGGTCCTCCAACTTACAGGGAAAAACTTGGGGGTTGGTGGCAGGATTGGCACTTCAGCCACTGGAAAAGACTCACACTGGTCCATTTGGACTGGTGTGGTGCTGAAGTATCCCCTGCCACATGGCTGCACTCAGGTTCTCACCCCTGAGGTGGTTTGTCATGTGATGGGTGCGGCTACACACTGTATCAGTGCGTGCTCCCTACAGTACCTCTGCTCTTTTGCGCGGAGTGTGCACAATCACTGGGCCAACCCACCAACACTCTCGCTGTTCTTAGATGGCAGTGACTCACCTTTCCTGTCCTCCTGACAGTGATGCTGTGAAACAGCCCATCTGTCAACTTCTTCTGTGTTTTCAACCTCACCACTCCATCACCGAGGTTATAGGAAAGCTGAACTTCCCCACCAATGAGCTCCAGAGCCAAAAATTCAGAACTATCCCATGAATGGTCCCATGAATTATCACCATGGTTGTGCAAAAGCAGAGAATTTTCCCGCACAGTAGCCAGCTCAAAGAAGATCACATTATTTCTGGGATCCAGAGGGGGGAATTCCATGTATGACAGCTCCTCAAAGCCATAGCTCTGTACCTCACAGTGTTCTCCACCTGTACCTGAAAAAACATGAATGGAATAATGCTAAATAACCAAATTTGCACAAGGAAATAAACATACCCTCACTGGTCGCTTCATTAGGAATACTTGTTTACCTTTTTGTTAAATAGCAGATCTCCTGGGATTTTTAGACACAGCATTCTTTAGGGTTGTTTTATAAGATGACTTATAAAAAGAGACCACATTTCATGACAAAGAAAGAAATTTAGAATAAGATATAGGATATACCTGCAAGTAGGTCCATACAAGGATATGTACTGGTAAACAGTGTACTTTCTTACCAAATGGACAGTCACAAGTGTATCCTATGGGAATATTAATGCAACTTCCCTGGAGGCAAGGGGATGACACGCAATGGTCGACAACATGCTCACAGAGGTCCCCTGAATAGGTAACACAAGAACATTCAATTTAACTTAAAAATGAAAGCTTAAAATTCATCTGGAGTTAGTTTGATTCAATGCAATACTCCATCCATCCATTTTCCACAACCTGCTGACCAGTGCAGGTCACTTTGATGGGAATATAGTCCTTTACAATGAATGCAATTCAATCAGTGACAGCAATGCTACTATATTGTCAACCAGGCACGACTTAAGTATGGGTAATAATCACCTTCAAATCCAAACTGGCAGGAGCAGTGAAATGTCCCTGCTATGTTTAAGCAGGTTCCCCCATTGCTGCAGGGGATGCTCTGGCATTCATCAATATCACTGGAACAGTGCTTGCCTGTAAAACCCCTCATGCACTGGCAGGAAAAACCACCAGGGTAATTGATGCAGGTGGCCCCATGTTTACATGGATCTTTGTTGCACTCATCAATGTCTGTTTCACACCTTGTGCCAGTAAAACCAGTCAAACAAGAGCAGTTAAATATGTCCACCTGCCTTGGGGAAACCAGTATGACTGCTGGGCTCTCCAAAACTGCAAAGTCTTGGCTGATGTAAATACTTCTGCTACAGGTGGCCCCATTTTGACAGGGACTAATGAGGCAAGGGTTGCTGGTAATGTGAGAGATTTTCACATGACTCCGAGCTTCCAGTACTTTCTTCTGAGCAGCAGAGAGGCTACTTGCCACTTTCCCACTGAGATACTGTCCATTGTAGCTTTTAAATGCAGCCAAAAGAAGAACAGATTCTCCTAAATCCTTAACCCCAAACACGTGGCTTTTAGAAGCCTGGAGGTTAAAGACACCATCTAAAGCTTTTATAAATTTCAGATACTTAAAAGACAAGAAATCATTGAAAGATGGAGAAGAAACATAAAAAAACACACAGTTGTTCACTGAAGCATCAATGAACCCTTTATAATTCACATAGATGCTGCTATTAACTGTGGGGTGAATGTAGTCATTTGCTTCAACACTAATATTATAGGTGGCCTCTCCCTCATATGGAGATGACCACAAGTCACAGTTACCCAAAGGAAAGCTAAACATGTGTGTAGGTCCAGTTTTGATGCTGCAGTTGAACACATCCATCTCATCTGGATCATTTGGTTGGACATTACCAATGAGTCCTCCCGGGAAAGACTTGCCATAATACTTGACCTCAATGTATATGTTCCTTGGAGCAGAAGGGTTGTCATTCTCATCTAAAACCCTGATCTGAACTGTTGCTGTAGACGATAAGGGGGGATCACCAGCATCTTGGACCACCACAAGGAGTGAGTACTTTGGGTTAAGTTCACAATCCATTGGCTGCGTGGTGGACAATATTCCATCAAGTGTCAGTGAGAAACCACTTCCTACGACAGGTTTCAAAAGTTGGTATGTAAACGGCCCTTGGTTTGGGGAAATATCAGCATCAGAGGCATTTAAAATTGTAACAACAGTTCCATATGGCTGATTCTCTAGCACAGAAACTTCAGTGGAATACAACATTGGGGCATTGTCATTAACATCCTGCACCATCACAACAACATTTGTGCTTCCTGTGGCTGGTGGGGATGCACTGTCAATAGCCGTAACAGTCAGGTTGTAAACAGGCCACCTTTCCCTGTCCAAGAAGGCATTTGCAGTGATGTCTCCAGTGACAGGATGAATAGTGAAGGATCTGTTTGTGTTCCCACGCTCAATCCTGTAAAAAAAATGGCGCCACTCTATTTTAGAGTCTTGGTCTTCAGCTTGTACTTGGGTGACTAAGGCCCCTAGAGCACAGTCTTCACTAATTTCTGCAATGTACTGCTCAAAGTGAAATTTAGGAGGATCATTTGCATCCAAGACATTGACCCAAACAAGGGTTTCGTCAATGTCAGTCCCATTAATACTACCCCTGTTCTTTGCCAAAATTTGTAAAACCACTGGAGTATGACTGTGTTTCCTTAAATCACCTGTAATAAATATTTCTCCACTATGTTTGTCAATATTGAACATAGCCCTTTTGCTTGGGCCGATTAGCATATAAAAAAGTTCTCCGTCAGGGCCCAGATCGTAGTCTGTGGCTGACACTTTGCCAAGTCGAGTACCTGCAGGCATACTTTCAGAAACAGTAAAGTTATACTGGCTTTTTCCAAATTTTGGAACAAATTCATTAAGCCCTGTGATTTGGATATAGACATGCACCACACTGAAATGGGCTAAAGTTCCAGTGTTGGAGGCCTTCACTGACAGCTCAAAAGCTTGATGCACTTCAAAATCAAACATATCACGAGTGGTAATGGTCCCATTTTTGGAATCCACAGAGAATAAGTCTTGATCTCCTGTCAACAGTGAGTAGGTTATTTCTGCATTTGCTCCAGAATCCCTATCGCTAGCTTTTACCTGTGTGACTGTTGTTCCTAGCGGTGCATTTTCTGACACCAGTGCTCTGTATTCCATAGTAGAGAAAACTGGAGGGTTGTCGTTCATGTCCTCGACAACGACTGTAACATTAAGTTCTCCTGTTTCTGATATCCAGCCTCCATCCTTGGCAATGACACAAAGGAGATGAACTACTTTTATTTCATAGTCCAACCCTTTAATAAGTGTAATCAGACCAGAAGTTTGTCCAATGGAAAACAACTCATTGTCATTCCCACTTTTAAAAGCATAAGACAGAAGCCCATTGATTCCATCATCTTTGTCTTCAGCATGAACCCTCCCAATAACGAAGCCTACAGGCACATCCTCTGGGGCCAAAAACAAGACCAAAGGTTCAGAAAAACGTGGAGAAAAGCGGTTCTTCTCAGTAATGACAAAATTAACATTCGTTTCAGATGAAAGAGGGGGCATACCTTTGTCTTTTGCCAAAACAATGAGGGTTAATATGGTATTCAGGCTTTGCCTCAGAAAATCCTTCAGGCGTACCTGTCCACTATAAATATCCACTTCAAAGAAAACAGATGCATTTCCACCAATAGCTGTATACTCTACAGCTGTGGCCCTGGACTGATAATCCTCATCCACAGCTGACAGTTGGATCACTGTAGTTCCCACATCCAAATTATAAGGGATATGTAGCACAGGGCTAAAAGGCAGAAAAATTGGTGCAAAGTAATTGTAAGGCACAATGGTCACAATGACAGTTGTGTTACTTCGATACGGATCTTCACCACAGTCTAGTGCCACTACTGTAAAGCTAAGGCTCTGAGATTCTAGTTTGTTGAGCAAGACTGGCTGCTTGGTTGCAATGTCTCCGGTGGATGCATTTACTCCAAAAAAGTAATCTGGAGGCTCAATATAGTACAGAATTTGCCCATTTTGTCCGATGTCAGCATCTGAGGCTTTGACCTGCATTACAAATATCCCTTGGTTTTTGGTTTCTGTAATAGTCACAGCATATTGGGACTGTGAAAATACAGGACTGTTGTCATTGATGTCTGAAATATCTACAGTGACATCTGTACCAATGCTCCAAGCTGAATCATTAGCAATAACTTTAATTATGTAGCGACTCTGAATCTCTCTGTCTAAAGTCTGTACGATTACTAAGCTCCCACTGGTTTTCTCAATAGCAAAAGGAAACCTCACACTTGATGACTGGTTGTTGACAATTGTATAGGAAATAACAGCATTTTCACCAATGTCCTCATCTGTGGAGGTTATCTGAATGACAGTGGATCCGATTGGTGCATCTTCAGAAACCTCAGTATGAAAGATCTGTAAAAACCGAGGAGCATGGTCATTTTTATCCAGAACAGTTACATACACTATTGCAGTGCCTGTGTTCAGAGTATTGTCCTTGTCTACTGCTTGAATGGTTAATTTATAACCCGAATTTTTTTCCCTGTCTAAGCTCCTTAATGTTTGTATAATGCCAGTGTTTGTGTTAATCGTGAAATCTCCATCCACGTTCCCGATAACAATGCTGTATTCCACCTCCCCGTAAACTCCTAAATCTGCATCGATAGCCAGGACTTCACAGACCACGCTTGCTGGTAGATTCTCAAACACTTCACACATGTACACACTCTTGGTAAAAACTGGAGAGTTGTCATTCACATCTCTAACATGTATGAAAACCTCAGCATAAGTGGAAAAAGGAGGAAAGCCTGCATCTCTAGCTTCAATACAAAGTTGGAATTCCTTATAAGATTCATAATCCAAAGGGGCTCCTATTGTCAGCTCCCCCGTTTCTTGGTCTAGTCGGAACATCATCTCAAAGTTTCCAGAGGCCAGATAGTATGAGATTGGGCCTTTTCTGGTTGTTTCCGCTGTAACTATAGTGATAAGCATGTCCAATGGATCATCTTCCGATACCCAGTATTCAAAGGCATCCACTGTCAAAAGTGGAAATTCCAACACATTCTGGAACCGGATCGTAACAGTTGTGCTGTCAGACTTTGGATCGTTGCCCCCATCTTCGACTCTTACACCAATTGTGATGTCATCTTCTACCTTAAGTTCATCAGAAGTAAAAACTGTCCCTGTAAATGGATCGATGGAGAACCAATCTGCATGTCGGCCAAATAAGGAAAAAGTGAGCTGTGCATTTACTCCAGTATCCTCATCCATTGCACTTACAGCACAAACAATTGAACCTGTTAAAATAAAAATAAACGTGTAAATATACACTGAAAAATAAAGTGGTATAAGACAGAATAGAACAGTGTTTCCTTGGAGACCCCCAGACAATACATATTTTGGTTCTCTGTCAGCTCCCAACACACCCATGCCAGGTATTCGTACTTCTTGACTGGCAGGAAACTGGGAGGGAGCAAAAATGTGGACTGTTTGGGGGGTCCTTGTGGACTGGGTTGGGAAACACTGGAGTAGGGAACAACTAATGCCTAACAAAAAAACATTTAAATCAGTGGTCTGCTTTAGTACATTTGTCAATCTTACCTCTGACCAGTGTGATGGGAATATTAGCCACATACGGACCATTTAGAAACCTGGGCCATTGATCATTGACATCGCTCACTTTCACAGACACCATGACTGAGCTGTTTAGGGGATGGGTAGGATGCATGTCCCTGCCTACCACAGTCAGCCTGTAGCTATTCACGGCCTCTCTGTCTAAGGCAGCTGTGGTGATCATATGTCCCAAGTCATCAATGCTGAAAGGAACATTCTCGTTTTCTATAAAGTACCTGAAACATAGTTTAAACATACGATTATTGGAAAAATAAATTCATGCATTTCATGTAGGTTGGAAATTATTCAATGATTAGTTTAGCAGGGTTATAAAAATCAATACACTCAAATATATATATATATAGCTATGTATAGATATAGCTACCTATGTATATGTGTGTGCGTAGCAATTTTTGTGTCCTTGTTTCACTACCTTATTTCACCATTGATACCATCATCAAGGTCAGAGGCATGTATCATTGAGAATGTACTTCCTGTAGGAATGTCTTCTCTCACAACAGCAGTAATTAAGTTTTCAACAAATATCGGTGGGTTATCATTGACGTCATCCACTATGATCTGTATGGTGCCAGTTCCTGTTAAAGGTGGCGTGCCTGAGGAATGAAATCACAGATTAATACATGCATTGTACTCATTTATCACATTGCAGTTAATAACATTTGTTTTCCAGGCTGCTGATGTGGTCAGTTTAATGCATATGTTAAGTATGCGATTTGCATGAGAAAACGGGCAACCCACTGGTTTGAAATCTCCAACAACGGCAGTCAGTACAATGTTCAGTGATGCTTTTCAGATGGTACAATGACAAACAATTCAGTGATGATCCAGAAAGTCAGGTTCAGTAATTACATGAATAGAAATACAGAGGAGACAATAAATGCTATTAATAAATAATAATAGTAACCTCATATCTATTTTGGAGAGGAAACCGAGGCAGCTTGGTGCTGTCAGGATAGCAGCTGAGTATACAAGCTACTGATTTTTTTTGTAAAATCTGATCTGAGTTCCCATGGGAAAGAGGCAGATGTATGAAATGGAGCTAAAAATCTATGATCAGTGGTATTACCGTGCACTGTCAGCCAGTCCAACTGAAACCAATAAAGTAACCAACAGGAACTGGTTTAAACAGGTTTGTGATTGACTTCGCACAATAATATATCCCATCACAGGCTTCAAAGCTTCATTTCTCACCTCACATAAAAAGGCTTCAAGAATCACCCATGATCTGCCTGCGGTAAAGCTGTCACACGGAGTGAGTCTGCTTATTGCTGAAGTTGCGTATAATCTTCTAGCACTAATGTACTCCCTCAAATACATGTTACCAAATCGCTGATTACATTTGAATCCCTTAATACACTCCACTAAATTTGGTAATATTATAATAAAATGAATGGAATTAAATACTGTACATGCTGTCATAGAGAGAAAATTGCCAAAAGTCTGAAATATAGGCATAAGGAAGCCCATTGCATCAATCTGGAACTACTTTGGCTTTGAGTATAAAGCTAACTACTGTTACCTCACAAATTATTTTGCTACTGACAACAGGGTTTATCTGTAAGAAGATCCTACTGATAATTAAGGTAATTATACCCAAACTCAAAGTTTTAATTTTTTTGTGCTGTTATTGGTCATTTCATGGTCTGGTTGGCCTGAACTCTCTGTCTTGACTCGGCGTCTGGATAAGTACACTCTTAACTGTCAACACTGATAGTCCTGTACAGTGTGGGGACAAATCATGGCCCTCATCAAGGTTCTCCATGTCAGCAAGTCCACTGGGCTATCTCTCAGTAACTTATAATTTCAGTTTGTCGAAACAGATATTTGAGGCAGACACCACTCATGATGTATTATTCACGACAAACTGCCGGTTGTTTTCTGTTGTTCTCCTGACAGAGTTGTTTCTCTGGCCTGCAGTTGCAGTACATGCTGAGAATGTTTTATCGCACGTTTGGGATGCGACAGAAGTAATATTGGATATTTGTGGGTTGGGTGAAGAATTAAAGAGTGACGTTCTTTGGCGACACCGCATTTGTAACTTTCCACATTCCACATATTCTTATTTCAGTCGGTACGATATACTACAATGGAAGAGTTGAAAAAAAGAATCACATAATTAACAATGTAAAAGACTTTGCTTCATTTCCACAACTATTTAACCCGTATGCTATGAAAAAACAAAAATTTGGCTAAATATTACCATGACCAAACTTGAGAGTTTTCTGTCTGCATGTAATAATGATAGATTGGGTGATTTCAGAATAAATACACATTTCCAGTCAGCCCTCCAGTTGAGCAGGAAAAACTGGCTACTGAATGCTAATATTCCAGACCACATTAAGACACAAAATTGCAGCATATTAAACAAAAAGCTCCACTTAATAAAAATAATATATTGTATCAAAACATTTGAAGTTGCTTTTACCTAATATTTTAAAAATGTTCATGAATTTGCTTAAGTACAATTCTACGAAAAGCATGGCTTTCCATGTTATTTTTCTTGCTTTATTGGGGGGCAAATTAGCCTAATTTAACATTTTTTCTGTTGCTTATCTAGCTGCTCAGCTCAAAGTGGATGTATTCAGAAAAAGCATATATTTATTATATATGACAGAGCCATCACTTTTGCAATCCAACATAAAAAAAATATCCTACTGACAATGGTTACACAGAAAACCATGCTGGCGAGTACTTAAGTATAATATTTTTATTGGTAGATACTAAGAATTCTGAGTTTACGTTTTCTTGTAAGAGATCACATCATACAGATTTTAGCTTGGTGCACAAAAACAATTGTGCCTATTCAAAAAAACACTATTATGCGGTATTATGTATTATGTGTATTATGTTAACTTTTTAAATCCACTTTCAGATTTTATATTTTGATCTTCTATCATTGCTAATTAATTGTCGTCACACATACAACATTTTAATAGAAAGCGAAATAAATTATGAAGAGTAATAAATTTAGAGTGGCATGCAACTTCAAATAAAGTAGCAATACAGGAGCTGGATTGTAATAATTTGAAATATAGATGTCAAAAAAATTCAGAGAAATGGAAACACTGTTAAAGCCAACAAAAGCTTTTTTAAATTCTGTTTGAGGACCACATTTATTTGAAGGTATGCTTAGGAAATCAACTTCCATCAACAGTAGCTAACTTCATCTTTCAGTAAGGAATTGTTCAGTAAATAATGTTTCACAATAACTGTATAATGGAGACAGAAGGAAGTCAAAAGCAAGTCAAGTCAGAAACAAACAAATTAGCTGACTAGCTTTGTATAAGATTCATATAGCTTTGTATAGTGATTCATTTCTATTGCATATCGGACATGAAAACATTACCTGAGTCAACAGCGATTATATGTAATGTGTACTGGCTTCTCTGCTCTCTATCCAGACTTTGAAGCATTTGAAGTGTTCCATTGGGAGAGAGTGAGAAGAGGTCTTCCTCATTACCCATATCAATGAAAAACAACAGCAGGGTGTTCAGACCCAGATCTTCATCAACAGCTGATACCTTGACAATTCAATGCAAAAAAATAGCTTAGTTATTTGTCTATGCTAATTTCACACAAGGAAAATTGTATAAAGGAAGCTATTTTATTTCGATAAGGTTCCCTGTTACCTGATGAATAATTTGAGGGGAGTCCTCATTCTCTAATACATGGAGTGTCACTGATGGTGGAGATATGAGAGGAACACAGTCATTGATGTCAGTGACGGTAATCTGGACAATGGCTGTAGCAGACCTCTTAGCAACTCCCTGGTCTACAGCAAAAACAGTAAGTATGTGTGTAGGGAGCCTTTCACGGTCTAGCTTGTCCTTCAGAGACAAAACCCCACCCACTGCTTCCAACAGGAATGGTGAGTCCTGGGATAGATGATACTGCAGAAGTCCATTGGGCCCTGCATCAGCGTCATAAGCATGTACCTGGAGTAGACTGGTCCCTCTTGGGAGATCTTCACTTACTGTCACATTGTACAAGCTCCTGGAAAAAGCTGGGTCATTGTCATTCACATCCTCAACAAAAACTGTTAGGTTCATTGAAGTGGACAACTGGGGAATTCCTTCATCTCGTGCCGTTAGACGAACCTTAAAAACATGAACTAATTCCCTATCCAGTGGTTCTTCCAGATAAACTGTGCCAGTTGTGGAGTTAATTCTGAATCTGCTTCCAGACCAATTTTGCAGCTCGTATAATACATGACCGTTTAATCCAGAGTCCAGATCCACTGCTTGAACGACCATGATTTCTGTGTGGAGTGGAGTGTCTTCTGGGATATGAATCATGCCAGTGGACTTGAAGGATGGCGCATTGTCATTCACATCCTTGACAAGTATAGTAACACGTGCTGTGCCGGTAAGACGTGAGCTCAAAGGCTGGCCGCAGTCACTCACCTGGATTGTCAGAATATATAAAGACATTGTCTCCCTGTCAAGCTCTTTCTGCAGACAAAGAGCACCACTGTGACTCACTGCAAATCTGCCATGTTCATTTCCTGCGGCTACTGTCCAGTTCAGTTCTGCATTCACGCCTGTTAAACAGAACATTACAAAGGCAAATCAACATATGCAGCAGGTTCTATCAAGAGAGCACAAAGAATTTTGTCTTAAATTTTTAAATGCTTTTTAATATGCATCATAAAATTAAGCTTTTACAATAAAATTGAAAAGTCGTGAACGCTGTCACTTTTTTTACTGTAATGTATATTTAAATGCAAATATTGTGTAGTATTTTTGTAGACAGATAATGCCAATATTTAATAAAGATGAACATATTCAGAAATTTCTCCTGGAATATATGTGATTCTTTTCATTTAAAGGTCATTAATTACAAAGAACATGCATTTTGGAATACGGGAGATTGGCTCTGGTTTAAGTATAAAGCAGCTGGCTTCAGTGGATTTTGTGACATAGATTTAAATCTAAATAAGCCACAATAACTTCAGCTTTAAAAGATGCTTTTTTGGGGAGGGGGGGGGGTTGTGCTTGTAACTGGAAGGGAATATTTGGCAACAATACTGGGCTGCCATGTAAGTAAACGTCAAGTGCTGAGAAAGAGATCCACTGAGCTGTAAAAATAACAAAGCCTGATCATAGCTTTGTGTCATCTGCTGCTCAAATCAACTGAATTTGTGTTTTCTCATACTGTATGTTAGTCAAAGATTGTCACAAGGAATTGGCTCATAGACAGACAAACACACTTAGCAACAGTAACGAGGAAGATACTGTTAATTGACACCACGCTGTTGTTCATCTCAGGCTTTTATCAAAGACAAATAAATCTTTGCATAGTTATACAACAGATATTTCACTTGGCAATTAAGCACAACTATGCTTGCCATGTAACATTAACCTCTTTTTTACCTTCAAGTTACTACTGTTCATACTGACCGCTATCTGCATCTGTGGCATTAAGGATGAGGAAACAGGTGCCCAGAGAGGCATCCTCCGCCACGGCAGCTGAGTAGCTGTCCGAACTGAAAATGGGTGGGTTGTCATTGACATCGATAATGTTGAAATACACCCTGAGCCTGGCTGGCTGAGCAGCACGGCTGCGCGATCCCACTGTGAGGATGTAGTGCTGCTCGGACTCATAGTCCAAGGCACGGGTCAACGTAAACTCGCCGGAGACTGGATTCAGCAGAAACAGGCCACTCCCGTCATCATCCACCAGCACGGTGTATGCCAAAGGCTGACCCCTTTCAATCCTCCCCACCACTGCTCCTATTAAAAGCAAGAATTACATTTTCAGAGGAGATCATTTATGTAATTTCTGTCCAGATCTACTTGTGATTGTGTTAATATCACTGTATGTGTGCAAATAATATGTGTAATACATACACACAAAAAAATGTACTGTCCAAAGGACTGCATTTTAATTTGAGATATCAAAACATACCTGCAGATAAAAAAATTCAGTGCTTTTTCTAAGTGGCAAACCCTATTTGTGGTACAGATATAAAAGTCATGCACTGGAGATGAGACAGTTGTGTAATCCTACTGTCAAAGGTGAATTAGACCAGCACAACAGCCCTCACATTTACACAAAATTTTATAATAGCAGGCAGTCATAGAGTAAAGAACACAGGCTTATCACTGTAGGATTCCAGGTCAGTTCTCGGGAGGTGTTTTGCTGATGTGCCCCTACAGGTACTTACCTGGAATTACTCCAGTAAAAATATCCAGCTAAGAGAATGAATAGCTGTAAATCGCTTTGGACCAAAGTGTCAGCTATGAAACTAAAATAATGTTTAAAAATTGAGGACATACTATAAGATGGAGTGAAATAAGAGCTTTCTTGTGACTACTGTACTCACCTGGGGCTGTATCCTCTCTTACTTCAAAAGAGTACACAGATTTAGAGAAAGCCAGCCAGGCTGAGCGCTTAATCCTGCGGTATACACCAAAGCCACTTGCACCCAACTTGCCTGCAGAGGCATTTTGGTGCAGAGGATCCATTGCAAGTGAGTTTTTCTCACCAAAACTATAACTCCAATCCTTAAAATAATGGCCATCAATCATATCCAGAACAGCAACACAGGCAACAAGGATGTTCAAAACCTGTGGAGATGAGCAAAGGGGCAGCAATTTCAGTGCAAAAAAACCTTCAAGTTGTTTATCCTAGACTGCAGTCCACCGACAGAACTACAGATAAATATGTAATACATCAAAATACACACAGAGACTGTTATAACAACAGTTCAAGTAATGTGCGTGAAAGCTTATTCTTGCACCCCTTACCCAGAGCAAAATAAACATAGAATTAAAAACATTTTCCCCTCTAAACCTACAGTATGATAAACAAATATTTAACATGACAAGAATACAAACCTTTGTAAACATATACCAGTCATTCAGTCTACCACAACCAAGATGACTCGTTTTAAGCACCTATACTCGTCACCAAGCAGAAAAAGGCCGGTATGTCTGACCCTATTCTTAATACAGCAGCACTATACTGTCAGTTGAGACACTTATCTTTCTAACTGAGCTAGCTTCCCCAAGATCTCTTTCACTGCCTCTCCATTAAACGTCACTATGTTGCATTATTCTCCTCCCTGGGGACTCCCTGTTGTTGGGCATTACAATGACAACTTGTCCTTTGATCACACTGAAAAAAAAGAAGTTCCCAGAAAGATAGTCTTCATCCTTCACCAAGACAGCTCAGCTATTTAAAGTTAATATATTTAGTTATTTCTTTTTGTTTATGAAATCAGGGGACCTCATGAATACCTCTTTGCGAATGGAAAGTTACCGCGACAAACAGGCAGTTTTTCTGTAGCTAAATCTGTGTTCAAATAGATTTAAACTCGGCTTTTCCAGTTTCATTTAAAGAGAATTAGTCTGTTCCTACTATAGCAGCAGATGTGTACTATAACAGCGAGCCTCTGGGCACATAATAACAATTCAATGAAACCGCAGAATTAACGTTAAACGTATAGTTACTGCAGCTTTAAAACAACGTGATCAAATTTTTCATCATAATAATAAAACAAGAACCTGATAAACACCGGTCATTAGTCATTCTGGAAATAAAAGTGTGAATTGGAATTTGATAAAAATTCCAGTAACTTATTTGCGCAGATTTAAACAGTTAGTACTTACCACCATGACGAACAGTATACTTAATCCTTAAAGTACGTATATTGCGTACATTCTTTCAGACCTCCTAGACGTTTGGTCCACAATTATTGAAATTTATAAAAAGCGCTACCGAAAGTTTCTTTTTTGGGTATTATATATACCTGACACTTACAGAGATTGCTCTTAGTGAACCTGCCTTGCAAAACATCCCCATTCACCGATGCTAACTCAGTTAGCGGGGGCTGGGGGTGGGTTTAATTTCAGTTGGTTTGGTTTAGGGCGGGGGCAGCCTAACCTGACAGTGAGAATTTATTATAGTAGTAGTAGTACTAGTAATAGTAGTAGTAGTAGTAATAATAATAATAAATAGTTTACAAAAATAATTCACAACAAAAGAACAACAATCGTATATTAACTGAATTTTAATTTCTTGCGATAATCCCCGGTAAATCAACTGATGAACTACTATGTGTAGCTTTTAAAAGCCTGCCAACAAACTGATTAGCCCACTGTAACAGGCAGTATACATCGCCATGTTTTTATACTGTACTCTTGCTGGATTTATAGTTACTGCTGCTTTTAATTGCGTGATAGAAATATTAACTGTCATATTTGTTTGTCCAGAAAAATGCTTATAGCATTTTTATATCACGTGGATTTTTCTCTGAAACGTTTAGTAGCCTAAGATTTACCTCATTTTATGAGCAAGACGTGCTTTCTTAGTCATCTTTAATAAAGGGGGAAAAAATCCTTCTGCGCCCAATCTTGAATGTGGAGCAATCCTCTTTTAAGGGCAAGGCCGTGATCCTTGAGGTGATCCTTGTCTGTGAGTTGTCTACTTACATGTAAATATTTTTCTGCAAAGCATTTTTTAAATTCTCATTCACTGCACTACACATTACATTCACTCAGAGGTGCTGAGGAGAATGACAGTGAGAAATTACCAACTAAAGAACCTTCAAAGCCTTTCAAAAGGAAGGAATTCAGACAAAGAAAAAGCACAAAGTATCAGCCTGACTTGAATCAACAGTTTCCAAGAATCCCAAACGGTCTCTGCAGTGAATTTCTCTGAAAAAGAGTGTCCCTTCTTTAGCCTAATAAACATGCAGTTTCATTCGTGAGCCAAACAAACCCTATTTAAGCAGCATGACGTCTCTTTATAAAAAGAAGCTTTGTTCCTTGGTTTCTGAGAGAACATATTAACCTGTATTCACAACAGAAAAACCACAATATTTAGTTTTCTGTGGAATCAGAGATCCCAAGGTTTGGATAACAGTTCAACTGTAGTTTCTGGTTTGAATACTTGGAAGACAGCTGTAAAATGCTGTTGGAATACTTGAGACTAAAAGTACCATTCTTATTTGTGTTTCATTATGTTGTGTGGAAATCAGGGTTTATTTGAGAAGAGGTCAATTTTACATGCTGTTATATCAGGATGATTTAGCACATCCTCTAATTCTGAGTTTACTAATCCTAATCCTACCTCTCCTTGACATGTGATGAATACTGCTTTTAAATTCTCCCCATGCACATAACTTTAATGTGCCTCTAGGCTGCTCTCTATTCATTAGCTTGCATTATTCTGCTTTGAAAAGCAGAAATGTAATTTTTTAACTCATTTGATACATTTATGTGAAAAGACACCTAAACGGCTTCATGTTCATAAGATGAATACTTGAATTCTTCAGCAGGAGAAATATTCATAGTGGGAGGAACTGCATCATACTCTAAGCGATTCACAAACATATTCATCTTTAAAATTTTACTTTACATTACTTTAGCTTTGAATGCAGTTATTTTTACCTACAAATGTCTCCTAGCCACACCCTTATTTTTCTTTGATAGTTGTCTTATGTTTGATGTAATCTGTTCATACTGTGGTCACTTCAGAGTTGTAAAACTGTTCTTTATGCATTCATGCATACATACATACATACATGCACACATACATACATATACACACTATATGTAAAAAATATATGGACACCTGGAACAGGAACTTATTATGACATGGAGTTGCCCCCCCATTCCTTTGCGGCCATAACAGCTGCCACTCTTCTGGGAAGTGTATCTGTGAGAATTTTTGCCCATTCATCCAGAAGAGCTTTTGTGAGGTCAGACACTGATGTTGGATGTGAAGTTCTGGCTCACAATCTCCATTCTAGTTCATCCCAAAAGTGTTTGATGGGGTTGAGGTCAGGGCTCAGTGCGGGCCAATCAAGTTCTTCCACACCAAACTCACCCAGCCATATCTTTATGGACCTTTCTTTGTGCACTGGGGCACAGTCATGCTGGAACAGAAAAGGACCTTCCCCAAACTGTTCCCGCAAAGATGGAAGCATAGAATAGTCCAAAATGTCTTGGTATGCTGAAGCATTAAGACTTCCCTTCACTGGAACTAAGGGGCCTAGCCTAACCCATGAAAAATAGACCCATACCATTATCCCTTCTCCACAAAATTTTAGAGCTAGCACAATGCAGTCAGGCAGGTAATGTTCTCCTAGCAACTGCCAAACCCAAACTCATCCATTCGACTGCCAGACAGAGAAGTGTGATTTGTCACTCCACAGAACACATTTCCACTACTCCGGAGTCCAGTGGCAGCATGCTTTACATCACTCCATCTGACATTTGGCATTGTGCTTGGTGATGTGAGGCTTACATGCAGCTGCTCGGCCATGGAAGCCCATTCCATGAAGCTCCTGATGCACAGTTTCTGTGCTGGGATTAATGCCAGAGGAAGTTTGGATCTCTGCAGTTATGGAGTCAAAGTGCTGGCGACTTTTACGCACTATGCATTGTAGCACTTGGCGACCCCACTCTGCTACTTTAGTGTCTGTTGTTCCTAAACATTTTTACTTTGCAATAATGCCACTTACAGTTGACCATGGAATATGTAGCAGGGAAGAAATTTCACGATCTGACTTATTGCAAAGGTAGCATCCTCCCACCGAGCACCAGAATTATCACAACGAGTGTTGTGTTGTATACACTTCACCCAAAACCTGTATGTTATTGAATATAACCAATTTTATATTAATGAGCAGTTACAGTGCAAGGTACAGTGTACAACTTCACTCCAAGAGCTAGTGGCCATCTGCATATTTTATGGTCTTATCTTAGGGAATAGTTATTATTATTTTTTTTGTAATTCCTCACTTTGGCTTATCAACTCTTACACATTCAACATGTCTGTGCCACATGTATCAAGTATAAACCAGGTTCATTAGAATGTGTTTCTGCAGCTTCATGTCACTCATTGTGCTTGCTCACTCACACACAGGTTGACAAGCATGACTGTTATTGGTCATTCAAGAATTCAAAGTCAGAACAGTTACAAGTGGACAGGAGTAGTGGGAAAAGGCAGGCAAGTCTCTCTGACCTTAGTGATGAGGACAGATATTCCAAGAGTGACCTATTGAATGAGGTAAGTAATTATTACATGTAAGTAGATGGTGTTTTGTTTGTGGCCCTGTTTTTAAAATGTACATATGTGCCAAAAAATTAGGAGGATTTAAAAAAAAAATGAAAAATGGTTCTGAATTCCGTGCCAAATCAGAATAGCTTTTCCACCTTGTCACTAATTCGATCGTGTCTATTCTCTCACCCTACCCAACTCTGTCCCGCTAATTTGTTAGTCATTTAGCCTCTGTCTGTTTTGCTGTACGTGTTAACAGATGAAATAATGAAATGTTTTCTTTGTCATTGCAGCTGCTGTCAAACAGTGGGACCACAGTGCCACCGACTATGATGTATCGTGTGCCGTGGCAGACCATCTAAGGCATGCTGCTGGGCGTTCTGGCGTGGAGGCTACATACTTCAAAATAATTAAAGGACAGCATATTTTAAAGAATTTTTATCAAGTTTGTTTTTTCTATTAAATAACATGAGTCTGAGATGTCCAATAAATAAATGTTATATTGGTACTCTTGTCAGTTTCATGTATTTTGTGAGTTTTATAATATTAATATAATATGATACAATGAATGTAATATGAAAATACACACTCACACACACACACACACACACACACATATATATATATATACAACATTTATATATTACACTAATACTAATACTAAATTCATGATTAACTATGCAACCTAGTCCGTAGAAGGATGTCTTCTCATAGACGCCTTTTCAAAGACCCCGAAAAGACGTCTTTTTATCTTTCACTTTTCAACCATATCTCAACATTTTTGAGACGTCTCACAAAGTCATCATTTCAAAAACTTTTTGCCTTGTGGGTTATGACAGAATCATGCTTGAATTTAACTGAGCTCTTCAGAATGACCGATTCTGTCACAAATGTTTGTAATACTGACTGCATGGCTAGGTGCTTGATTTTATACCGCTGTATGAAATGATTAAGAGGTGCTTCCCAATGCTTTTGTCCATATAGTGTGCGTGTGTGTGTGTGTGTGTGTGTGTGTGTGTGTGTGTATACACTACCAGTCAAAGTTTTTGCACAGACTGAGATTTTCTACATGTGTTATTCACTTAACATTTACAAAAAATACATTCAATATTCTTTGCTAACAAACAAATTTACAATATGTTCACCATTTGAGTACATTTATTATCTAGAAAATATCATATTATCATATTAAAAGTAACCTCATCTAGCAGTTATGACAGCTGAGAAAATTCAAGACATTCTTTCTACAAGGGACATTAATTACTGCTCTGTTTCATGGAATGAAACAGTTAACTAGTGCATTTAAAGTTAAATGACAGCCTAAAATCTGACTTTGTGATCATCACACAGCCAGGTAACAGGATGTCAGACATGCACTGTTACATCCTCTTTCCAAGTTATAAAGGAAACTTGTTTTATTTGACTTATATTCTCGTTATAGTTGTTCACTCAACTTTCCTATGCTTAACAAGGATAAAAAATCTGCAGTTTAGGAAATAAATGGAAAAGCAGTAAAAACCTGTGGTCTACAAAAACCTTTAATAGGCGCTGTAGATATAATAGAGTGAGCTTAAGTTTTAGTCCTACATTTACACACTTGGAAATGTATCTTAATTCTTCTTAGTCTGATTTTTGTAATACAGCTGCTGCCCTGATGGAAGTTTCGGGTGTCAGGTGACATATAGGGACAATGTGCAGTTTGGTGCTTTCATTCACATGTATGGATGTCAGGTATGGTGAGGGTATAGAGACGCCCGCAGACAAGTGATGAGCTTAGCAAGGATGAAGCAGGACCGTGTTAATCGTGTTAATCG